AAAAGGAATAATAAGAAGAAATATGAGAAAAGCAATAAGGAGAAGAGGAAGGGGGACAAGAAGAAGAGAAAGAGGAAAGGAGAGATGAAGAAGAAGAAGAAGAAGAAGAAGAAGAAGAAGAAGAATGATGGTGGAGGAATAGGGCGCATAATTTCACGAGAGGGGAGAGGCCGGGAGTCAGATAAACAAATCACATATAATAGGGATGAAGACGAAACGTTTTTATAGCTAGATCTTGTAACATTTTTGTAATATTTTCATTAAAATGAGCCGTATTACAGTTGACTAAGATCCACACAACATTGATTTTTTATTTTGTATTTGTGGTCAACTGCTATGGCCGTTATCACGTAAGTATATTTCATGTTGTATTGCCAAAGGTGGCGGTGTTCTTCCATTACTAGAAAGTCCCATTTGGTGCCGATCTACCCATCGACTTGCGATGGTTTCCCTCCTCCGGAACCTCCACCGCAGAGCACCGGCGCAGACGGGACTAACTCCCAACTTCCAATCGCACGCAGTCTGTGGCCAATTTTGATACGTTTCTACTCCGGAATTTGGCTGTTATTGATCTGATACAGCACGGAAAACCACTGACCATAGCAGCTAGATTTGGTAACTTTTGTTGCTACTTTTGTCTACGCGATTGGACTATACTCGCATACACATAATACTATACGGATTGGCTGGACTGAGCACGTTCCTATAAAAGTGTAGTAAAGGCCGTAGGTGTACTGTGCTGATCCGATTCAAGTCACGATTCTCAGTACCAAGGAAAAACATTGCTGCTGTTATGTCTGCATTGAATTTCCTGTTGTACGTCTCCCCTTCCGTCTGACATTGATTGGCTTGAAGCTACCTTCGTGGTTCTCACCAGTCTTCTTATCAATAGTGTCTATGAGACTCTGAAGCTTTTATCGATGTCTACACGAAGCATAGCTGATCAACCCATCACATTTATTCATGTATTAGAGGAAACAAACCAGGTTTCACGCGTGTGACGCCTCTGCTGCAACCCGTAAGAACTTACGTCGCGTACTTAGACAACTATTCGCTCATCCGACTTTCCGGGGATGGGAATCGGAATCACAGGAAGGATTATGTTTCAAGTGCAATACGATGTGGTAGTAATTCACGCCATGCCACACAACGTCCATGCCTAATGCGGGATACGATGCCGCGGAAGAAGATGAAAGCACAGAGTACCTGACAAACTGTCACCAATGGTGCAGTCAAAAATTGACTGTTAATAGAAGTTGCCGCTTAATCAAGATCATGAGGTTACTGAAAGCATAAATAAAGTTATATTGTTATTCCTAATTGTTGTGTTAAATGAAGTACATTCTATTTAACACTTAATTACTATAAATGACAAAATACAGCTTGAAGAATGCATTGAGGATCATTTGTATCCTTTCCCCAAATATCAACATAAACTCTTGACTCGCCACTCATTCTTATAGTCGAGAAACTCCCTTTATGTCCACACCAAATCAAACAAGCAAATTAGACTAGAAGATGTAATTCATATTCTATAGAAACTTTTAAAACAAAGATATTTGAAGAAGACATTTTTATAAGATTTTTGAAAAGAATAGATGTTTGTGAAATGGGAGAAACGAACACGTTGATTCATTAAGATGTATTTATTATAATCATCTCTTGTTACGTGAAACAGAAAGCCCCTGTGAGATAAGAGGCTCTTCATGCCTCTATTAAAAGTAATCTGCCAAAGTGCCTCGTAGTAGAAAGATATTAAATCAACAGTAGTCTCCAGCACTTTTCCGCTTCACGTGATAACAGCTCAAAACCGCTTGAGACGACCACTTAATAAAAGTAAATCTAGGAAATGAGTCTGTCTGCTTTGTCAGGAGGCTATTGTAAAGAGGGAAATATTTACACATGCCGTAGGGCAAAATCAATCTTTTCCACGATAAAATTCCATTACTGCAACTGACCGCTGGATCGAAGTGGCCGTTCAAAAGAGGTCGTCACACAGATTGTTGAGAGCAAATGCATCAATAGCTGGTGCAATGTAGACCGGCAAGAAATTCAAGGAAAAATGTTCACAGCAAACACATAAAGGTTGTAAGAAGTCCACCATGCTATAATACTCAGCAAATCTCTATGCCCGAGGGAGGATTCGAACTCGCTATCCGTTGAACCGCTGCGATACTGCTCGGCGCTTCCACCTCAGCGATTTTTACTTCCTTGGGGGGGGGCGCAATTCTACGTAGTGAGAATTAGAAATGATGGTAGATTAGAGTAATATTATTTTTACGGAGACGGTATCAGTTTTAGCAAGATGTTGGGAATTAAATGTTTTCTGTGTAATGGCGACAGTCAAGTTAGTCTTGATGGTAGAAACGAGTAGCTTAAACGTTATTAAAGTTTATATTACGATGTGGAGGGGCTCTTTGATGCTTTGAGAAACTGTTGACTCTGAAATAAGGTAGCGTCAAAATTGCAAGAAAGTTATCCGAGCGTCCACCAGTGTTGTAGCATCCCGCTGAGCACAACGCTGGCTATGCGAGGAATATTGACGTTTTATAGGTGGCTCTAATAAGGTCACAAGTGTGACAATTTTCTTTCCATAACTCGTATATTGCGAACTCATGTTTTACCATATTTTGTTTCAAATACGTCCATGTACGTAGTTGGGAGAGCACTAGAGCATGTTTGATAGCAATGATTTCTTCACATTTTTATTTTCTGAAGGTCATATCTCTCTGTATCAGTTCGATTTTTTAAAAAAATGTGTGGCGATATACATTGCCCCAAATCTTCATGCTCCTTTTCTGCAATCTATGGGCTAAGTTTGATCATAATGGGTTATGCTCCAAAGGCTACTTTTATTAATATAATTTTTAACTGTACTTATCTGATTAAAATTGCTTGAATAAATACCGTTATTGCAGCGACTGAGAGATGTGTGATGTTTATTCATACATGTACACTTCAGATATATAATAATACAATATGCGTTCTGACATTTTTTGAAGAAGCTACAGCGTCTGATATGTTTTAATTGGCTTGTTTACAATAAACTTTTTTTGAAACTTGGTGGTATCGCATAATTTACTTGTTTATGTTTGTCGATGGTAAAGACATATTTTACTTTATCGCCATCGTCACCGCCATCGTCACCGCCATCGTCACCATCATTGAACCTGTGGTTCAATTGTGTCGAACACGAACATCATCATCATTATAATTAATTGTAGATTGCTTAGTTTGGAAAACACTTAGCAAGCAAATTATTTTATAATATGTGAAGTGGATTCTAGGATGAATGAGATTAAATCTCAGCTAAAATCTAAACATGAAGCATTTGGCCTCCTAATTCGGTCTTTGAGAAATTATACTAAATCCTAAATTAGTATACAATAAACAAGCCATTAATTAATCCATTATAAAATTGAAGGTTGGCTCTTCAAGATAAGATATTTCATGAGAATTAAAAAGTCCAATCCAATGTCCATCCCATTGTACTCGTAATGTTTAATATCAAGTTAATTTAATTTTTAAGATTTGTAATGATAGCAGCGTCACTTTGTCTCCAAATACATACACAATAGAAATATTTCAAAGGAAGAAGAAACAAATCCACTACGTAATCAGTAATTCTGTTTTGGATTCGTTATAAGTAAAATATTAGTTTTTGATTTCTCAATAGGGCCCTTCTCTTAAATTTGGGAGAAAGGAATGTTTTATATTATTCTGGGGATGAGTTCGCGATTATCCTTATGTTTAACAAATAATAGATGAAAATGTAATTTGTTAAGTAATTTATTTTTTTACTTCTAACTTACTTACTATTACTTAAACGTTTTGTAAACGTTTATTGCCTCTGCAATGATATATGAAACTCCAACAGATCTTCGTGCAGATAAAAAAAGGGAACACAGTGTTTGCAATAAGGGTCACCTCATTTATCAACGGAATAAAAATTATTATTTAATTTCTTCTAAACTTTTGAACCTCAAATGATGGCAATCTCTTAATCAGGCTCTTAAAAATCTCCGTCATGGTAGGGTTTTGGTGGTTTTATTTTCCGTGGTAAATGGCAATGTAGACTTCGCGTACGACTTATACAAGTTCATTTTTTGATACCAGAAAGGGCACCATGCGATTTAATTCTTTCTTCTAGCACAAGTCAAGTGTGACGCTAATGTTCTTCCACTAATCTCTGTGTACGAGTATAACTTCACACGGGACAGCTAGGAAAAGGTGTTTTGTATTGAAGGTTATCATTGCTGAGAAAAAAACACACTTCAGTATGGCGATGGTTAGCATTTTAGCTGGCACGATAACTACACGCATTTCAAGAGAAGATGTTTTTAGTTGTCAATATTATTTTCTTCAGAAATTGTTATGTGTGTGCTTCTTGGCTTTCAGAGAATGATAATGGTAATTAATTTAACCAGTGGCTTATGGCTGGAATCTTATAAAGAAGTACATACAGTTGATATAAAATTATTTTGACTACAAATATATTGCTAGAATTCAGCGATTAGCTATCCTAAATAATGCCTTGATGTACAATAGGCTCTAATGTATTGCTGCCCTCTCGATTTAATACCATTAAATGTTATGCGTGTTCACCGCCATTTTTTTAAGAATTAAAAAGCAATCATTATTAAAAGTTTTATGTAAAAGTAGATGAGGAAAACGGAATATGACACTTTTGATAAGATGTTACAAATCACGCAACCACAGCTTCAAGGTCCTTCAATATAATGAAAATCGTGCACAACAGTAAATTATGTCCAACTCAGTTGATCACGTAATACCATCGGTGAAACGTATTGTCTAAAAACAATGGAATCTAAATTCATACATCACTAATTCGCTGTTAACAAGAACCTTGGCTAAAACAACCTTACCGATGGTAACCCATGACGCTAATAAGCCATACTCAATTGAGCGTTATAAACCATTGCCTTTAAGGACGCACTTCAAATAGTATTTTATTCAGAAGCAACATGAAATGCACTCACCTTCGCATAAATGGCGCTCGCACTGCTGCTGGTAGTGACGCGTTTAAGAACAGGTTGAAAAAATCCGCCATAAGCCTGTTGTCCGGTTCCTGCAAGCGCCCCGCTGTCGCCCGCCTCTCTGACGCCATTGCCCGGCTCTCTGATTGAGTCACGCCCATCTGCCGGTTGCAACCTCACTTTCCGAAAACCTTTACACCTCGCCTCAAACCTGCCGCTACGCCCTCCATATTTCCACTCCCAGAGTTCCCGCTAAAAGGAAACGACTCTATGTAAGTTCTCTGGATTAGTTGCGCCGTCCATGCCCTTCTATTGGCGCGTAGAATCGTATATTGTGTTGTGAACATAATGCACACTCTTATAATAGTGAATTTAACACAGACATTTTAATAAATCAATGATATCTTTCCTAAATGAGAGATACGAAAAATTTGACAAAACACTAATTTACAATAACGAGAAGATAAAATAAAGTCTTGAATTCATTAGGTCTTGCTTAATATGATTATCAGAAGTAAGAATATATAGAAAATCTGTAGATAACATTTGTTTTCACTTCGATTTTTTATAATTGATTATTATTTCTTGGAAGTGAAACTGATCAATGCTATAAGTAAAACGAAAAAAAAGATAATACATTTATTTTAATTTTTTATACGTTACTTTGAAAACGATGCAATATTATTTTGAGTAGTCAAGTTAATAGTAAATAAGTTTATTTTAGGCCAGCGTTAAGAATTAGGTGATTATTCATTTATTATTATCATTAAATTATTAGGTCATTATTAATTTCAAAATTATACATCCAAGAACACAGATTGTAGACAATTGTCAAAGTTCACAATACATTAAGGAAAAAGATGAATGTCCATTGCAAACTAGACTATTCAATTGTTCGTTTAACTTTGAAGCAAATTGTCAGGACCATGTGACATTATCTGCAAGTTGTATAGATAGATTTATTATTTCTGCAAGTAGGAATAGAACCTGGTGGCAGAACACTACATTTTACAACTAAGAATAGTAATACACTAATTTTAAAGCCTTTTAAGGCAATAATAACAATATAACAATAAAAACTAACAGCATTACCTATACACTTTATGACTGCCCTGCACGGAATTTTTAACTAATAAATACACTGCACTTCACTTCACTACACTACACTTCACTTCACTTCACTTCGGTACACTACACTTGCACTTGACTTCTCTACTGCACTACACTTCACAACACTTCACGACACTCCAATTCAACTACTACTTTATATATACTTGTATATTTAACAAACCAATGTATTTAATAGTGATTATCACTATACTAATATTTAAAAAATAACAATTATATAGTATATATAACTAAAATAATAACCATTTTAATAAGCCTAACTTATACCAATGTCCTTAGTTAATCTACTTTTGAAACTTTGTACACCTAGAGGAAAGGGTTCCATGGCTGCCGCAGGTAACTTATTCCAGTCCGTTATTGTTCTATTTGTGAATGAAAATTTTCCAACATCTGTTCTCTGTGTTCTGAACTGAATTTTGTGCTTGTGATCCACTCTACTAAAGTAAGTGGGTCTATCGAGTCGAATGAAAATATCTTTCCAAGCTGGATAACCGGCATACGCTTTGTACATGGCACAGAGTCTTGCCTTAGCCCTCCTGAATTCTAGAGACTCCCATTCCACTTTCTTCCTATTGCTGCGGAAAGTAAGTTTACACGCTCTTCTCTGAACTCTATTCAAATATTCCTTTTGTGAATTTCTATAAGGGTCCCAACAAGGGTATGATTCTACTGACTTAACGTTCGGGCGCTCGCGCGAATTAGTGTTGCAGGCATAATCACGGGCGGTATTTTTACCGCCGACGAACATCCTTCCCTTTTCTCAACATTGTACCTGCTCTTCATCGTCAGTGATGGGGAATTTATTAATTAACATGTTCTGGGTTTTGCAGCAGATGAAAAACGCATTGAAACAATTTTAAATATTCTCCAGGATAGACATTTCTTGAGATAATATGCAAAATCATGCTTCTACTTTTGCTTCACAATACGCTGAAGACACATACACTACACTTATGCCATAATAAAAATCTAAATTATTATCTAATTAAGTAGGAGAGTAAAAATCTACTAAGTAAGATAAAAATGGTAAAGTTGGGGGGGGGGGATGTGTAGGTAGCTAAATATTTTATAATAAAAAGAATAGTAAGTATTAGAAATCTAGATTAATACATTCCATTGAAATCATCACCAAATCACACAAAATTAATAACAAATTTATTTAATTAACATAATAATATTATTATCACATTTTTATAACAAAAATATATGAAAAATATTCTGACATATTCATCACACTCGTGGAAGAAAACTGAAACAGGCGCGATCACGTGACGGTGTTTACGTCACGAAGAGCAAAGAATGATGGCGTTGGTATCTTTTGCGCGAATTTGGCACACATGAAAGGGGATATTAAAGAAGATCCCCTTGTGTCTCAATAGATAAGAGAATACCTGGCACCCCGTCATGCTCAGTTCAAACATCAACCAGCAGCCCCGTTTTATTTTTAAAGGCCACATTTTTTACGCGATTGCTGGAAGGTTAAACAACTCATGAAACAGATTTGTTTGCTATTTTGTAATGTTTAGTTAAAGTAGCAGTTTTTAATCACAATAATACACTGAATTAGAGTATTTTAAAAATGTCTTTTTTCTGTTATTTCGTTGCAAAATGTAAATATATGAATGCAGCTGGTTTGAATATAAAAGTAGACCGTATGTCCCACCAACTGCGGCGGTTCACAATATTGAAACGCAATTTTCGCTAACATTACGAAATCATGGGGCAAAAACTTTTTCAGAATACATTGTTATAATATTTTCAGTTCTGAGAAATTCAGTTTTTGACATCATACAATTATTTAAATTATTCAACCGATGTTTTAAATGAAACTTAATTTTTTCACTTGCAATACATGTCATAAAAACAGGAATACGCGTAATGCTGCATCACTTGTTAATAATTGTAAAAGTAATACAGAGAACAAATGTATTTCTGTCCGTTCTTGGAAATTATATACAGTAGTTGGTACTACGACGGTGGGTCAACAATTTTGACGCCCGTAGGTTCGCAAAAAGTAGACACCTATTTATTTGAAATTAACCCAGGAAAAACGTTATACATAAAATTATAAAATTTTATTTTTGTTTGTATGTACGAGGGTAAGTCAATAAGTATCTGCCGTCAGTGTTTTTAGTTGATCTCAACAGAACAGAAATTACACAATGAGAATCACGCTAATGAGACCATTTTTAACATAAGAACTATGTTTTTCAATGAACTTGGCTCATCAAAGCACCAGTTTTTCGATACAATCAAAAAAATAAATTCGATTAAGAAGCAAGCCATGTATGCACTGTTTCCTCAGCGAAGGCAAACCTCTGGCATCTTAATTCATCTCTGAGTGAACCAAACGGACTGTAAATATAGACGTAACGAACTCGAAACCGTATCTGGGATGCTCAGACACCACGAAATACTCATTGTGAAGATCCAGGGCGAAGGAATGTGGTTCAGTGTTGTCTAGCAAGAAATAAATCTCTTTGGACAAACCACCTCGGCGTTCTTGAATGCCGCACCTGACTACGTTGCGTTTGGTCAATGGCTGTAGACTATTAGAGACTATACCGAGCATCACAAAGTAAATTAATATTAATTTTAACACTGATATTTAATGTGTTATTTACCATTTGAACTGTTTAATTCTAAACATCCGGTAATAAGTATTGAACCTCAGCTTCAGGGTCAATGAATCCTCATTTCCATTAGGATTATATTCCAGTTTCCCTGGCCCCTTGAGCAAATGTTGAGATAGCCCCTTGTTTTGCATCTAGACATAAATGTAATTTAATTATCTGTGCACGCCTTCTAGAGTTCAGTGGGATATGTAGTTATTTAAATTATCGTTCTTAATTGTGTCGCAGCAGGAAGTATATTCCTTCACGAAGGACATGATGAGGGATAAAAACCCAAATCTAAAGCTCATTTGCCTTTGAAAATATATTTAATTACATCTGAGTGAATATTGCGAAAAACGCTCATTTCTTTCTGTATTCAGAATTTAACTAGCATATGACTCAGGGCTGAGATACCAGAATTAAGAAAATGTGCAAAGAATACACTTCTTCCCGTAGCACGTCACACTCAGTTTTGAACTACTTTTAATAATGTTATAAAATAGTTTATTGAAAAAATAGTTTAATGAAAGTAGTTTATAAAATATAAAAAAATGAAAAATGATCTGGTTTGCTACTTCACTGAGTTACTTGTTACTTTTTGAGAATCAAGGTAGGAATTTTCTCAATGGGTTCAGTAGTGGAGCAGGCTGGTCATCATGTTCTTATCTCATCGTGCATGCTTGTTTGACTGCTTTTGAATGTTCAATCCCACGGGAATCTCTTCGCCGAGGAAAAACATTGCCCTCGCATTGGGCCGAAAGACTTCTACGTATTTCATATTTTTGTAGACACTCATATTACAAAACACGGATGACTCGAGCTTACTTTCTTTTTGTGCAAATGGAGAGTCGTACAGCCACGTTTACGTCGTAACAACTCAAGCCAACATAAGGTGATAACTCTGAAACTTAAAGGAAGTAAAGTTAAAGATATCATCTTAAGGCCGGTAACTGCATGAATCTGTACAGCAAATTTACAGACGATTAGAACAAAAAAGCAGATACTGACTTACTTTCCTGGATATTTGTTTCACAATAACTATAGACCTATTGCTCTTAAATTCTACAAGAATACTTTTAAGAAGACAGAAAAAAGAAAGGGGGGAACGCGATCACCAAACTTCTGCTCAATTTCGTGTGACACCGAAATGTGTGTGAGATATCGGAAACCCGCATTGCTGTGAGGCGAGATTGTTGGGTATCGGGGAGGACGAAGGTGGGCGGAGGTTGGGGGCGGCGGTTGGCAGGGGTTGGGGATCGTATCGAGCAGGGGGTCAACTGGGTCGAACAGAAGGGACACGAATGGGGGGGCGGGGCTATTTAATAGATGATGTCGATAAATAAATGCGAAGCCCGCCGGGTAATCTGCTATTAAATCAATAGATTGTGCGTGCGGGATTGGGCCCGTTTGAGCAGCGCTCTAGCCGCCGAGTGCTAAGGAGGCGTGGGGGCGGAGGCGGCGCGGGTTGAGGCGCGGGCCACGCGGCGTCGAAGGCGACCTGCTTGAGCG